TCAGCAGTTTGGGAGTAAAAAGCTGTATGGGAAAGCTTGCAAAAACTGAATTGACTCTTCTCTTTGCCTGTTTTCATCTTTTCTATGACCACAGCAGGTTCATTTGATGTTGGTTTATCTAAATGCAGTATCACCATGACAAATATGTCATGTCATTTCATTGACAGGATGATGATGACTACCCTTCTACCAGTTTGCTTGGCCAGAAGAAGCCAGGGTACCATGCTCCAGTGGCACTGCTCAATGACATACCACAGTCTACTGAACAGGTACGTTAGCTGAAGGCACAGTCAGGCACCCTTGGAAGTACTAGGGGAAAGAAAGCTTTTCAATACCAAGTCTTGTCTTTTGGCAAGATATATGTAAGGGGCTGTGTTTTTTTAAATTTTGCTGTAAGCTTGTTACTGCTTTAGTTTAAAATTTCACTGTGATAATTATTGGCAGTTGTGCATGTAAAGCCAACACACTAAACTATTGAAATATTTTTTATAGAGAGTCATATACTTCAGAAATTAGAATAGCTGGAAAATGTAATGTTCTTTATGTTATGCTTTTGTAAGGAAAATGTAATCACTGAAGTTTTATATTCCTGGAGTATTTTTCTGTAAAATTTAAAAGCTTATGAAGTCATCCTATGAAAAAAGGGGCAAAGGTTGACAGTATGAAGTGCCTTGGTAACAAGTGAATAAACTCTTAAAGTAGCAAATTTGTGTCAGAAATGATTTCATAAGAAGCTGTGTGATAAAAAAAGTGAAATTCTAGTTACAGAAATAAAATTGGCATTGCACAGTGTTCTGACGTTCCTGCACAGTTGAGATGAAAAATATTGTAGGCCTTTTTAGCAATACTGAAAATGAATACTGCAGCAGAGACTTTAGCTAGTGTTGTTCATCCATGTGACTAACCAGCTGTGTTGGGTTTCAGTACGATCCCTTTGCAGAGCACCGGCCCCAGAAGATCGCAGACCGGGAGGATGAGTACAAAAAGCACAGGCGGATGATGATAATTTCCCCTGAGCGTCTTGATCCCTTTGCAGATGGTAATTTACTTTGGCTTTTCTATACCCTCCATGAGTTTTTGTCTTTGTCTTTAGCCCTTTGATTTCTGTTGGCATGCTTATAAACTTAGTTTTGTTGTAAACATCCCCCTTTCATAGAGGTTTGGTTGAAAACCTAGATGCCATATTCTTCATCTTTATAATACGAGTTTTCTTTCCAGGTAGAAGGACAAGAAAATTGTCAATGAGCCATTGCCATAGAAACACAAAGGGTTAAAGGTTTCTCTTTTCATTTTGTTTTGGGTTGTGCGTTGTACTTTGAACAACTTGTGTATTGAGTGCTCAGATTCTATCAGTACCTTGAAAGTTTTCATTCCAAGTCATAGACTTACAGGGTTACTGCTTTTGAAATGCTAGTTCTCAAAATAGAGCACCTAATTCTTACCATCCCATGTAAACTTGAGGTGGTATAGCTAAAAGAAACAAAAGCATATATAAGACTTTGAGACTATTAATAGTTGAAGTCTGTTCTGATAATTTTAGAATGCAAGTCAGGAAAAGGGGTGCTAGTGGGTCTGACAGAAACTTTCTTCAGGTGAGTGAGTGTCACGTGTGGCAATAAGGTGCCTGTTGGCTTAAAATTAGTAGCTGTTTTGCAGGTTTTACAAATGAGAATTTCAGCCTGCATGAATTAATAGGGATATTAATTATTTTACTTGCTTAATTGTAATTGATATAAACATGTATTGTCAGAATTCACAGGCCCATACTAACTGTCCTTAATTTCTTTCCTACAGCAGTACTGCTATATGCCAGTCCTGTCTGCATTCTTAAGGGTGCAGTTCAACACATCCTGTGTAGATTATGGTGAAAAAGTATTCCAAAGGAAAGTCCTATCAAAGCTAGTGTCAGAGTGACACAGCCAATTGGGCAGTGGTCTTCAGCATAGCAATGTTTGAGAAGTTTATTTTTTTCCCTAAACCTAGTGCTATACCACCTGTATAGCAAATCCACACATTTTTCTTAAAGAAAAGTGTTTTTCTTGACAAGTCTCATTCCTTTAAAGTTGGGCTTCTTGTAAAGTATTTAAACATTTGATTAGTGCAAGATACACAGCATAAACCAACATATGGTGTACAAATCCCATTTCCTGTGAGTATTGTGTGGTGGTGTATGTTCTGTATTGCATCCAGCTCCCAGTCACAGTTGTACCTTGAGAAGAAAAGAGGGGGAAGTGTCATCCAGCTGTTTTCTGGGGTTTTTTATTTTGCTTTAGTTTTATTTTTAATGAAGCCCTGTTACAAAATGACACTAGAAGGTCTGTGAGACATGTCCAGATTTGTCCAACTTATAAATGGGTCTTTATGATAAAACAATTTAAGCATTACTTAGGTATGCAGTAGTTATGTATAGTCAGATAACGAGTAGGATTTAACAGCTGACACAAGGTAATGTTTTGATTATAAATATCTTTCCAAAGTGTTACTAATGGTAAAGAGATAATTTTCTAGGCTTCTATTCTGCTGCTTGAAGTCAGAACTGCTGATGGAGACAAAGGCACGAAAGTGTACGTATTCCGGATTAGCAACCCAGGAACCCATCACTTCTGAAGACTCTTAACTGTGCTGTCATTTTATCATTTTTATCGGCTTTAAAATATTTTGTTTGAAACTGCAGTAGTTATGTTTGTGTTCAAACAGGTTAAATTGATCAGCAAACTGAATAAACGTAAGATACATGTAATTTAAAAAATTTTCTATCAAAAAGTAAAATTAAATGATCATGGAATAATATAATACTAGAGCAGGGCAGTAGAAAAAGTCAGCGGTGACTGCTTATCTTGTACTCATTGTGCTCCATTCCTGTTGCTGTTCTCTTCTGCAGGAGGGAAGACTCCAGATCCTAAAATGAATGCCAGGACATACATGGATGTTATGCGTGAACAGCATTTAACCAAGGAAGAGGTGTGTGCAGGGGTGGCGTTTTCACTTGAACTGAGTTCCATTTTACAGCCTTGGAAAGCATATTAAGAAAGGGGGAGTGTTAATTCTGTTGACTTGAGTTCTTGACTTAAAAGTTCTTTTCTTTGGAAAATTCTGTTCTTCACATGTGGAAAGTCACTAGAATTTAAAGATAGAAGTTTTGGAAAACATCTGGTCTATACAAGGAGAAATAGTCTCAACGTATTTTAATCTGATTTTTTTTTTTTTGTTGCACTTGGACTTTTTGTTGTTTATTTTCAGTGGCTAAGAAGTATTTAGTGTCAGAGATGGGGGCAGGGATTGTGAGCATTGTGTAAAGGGAATCCAGGGAGATTTTAAAAGACTTTTGTTGAAGTACCTACAACAGATGTTGCAGTACTAAGATCTGGTCTAAGGTTGACATTTGGTTTAAAATACTTTAAAAAAAAAAAGCTTACTCATGGCTATTAAAATTCATTTTAATAGATAAACAGATACTGGTAATGCAATCAGGTTTCTTGTATGATACCTATAGTGCCATCTTGTTAATTAGAACAAGATTTTGTAGTCCCAGCAGCTTCTGGTGTTGATTTGTCATACTTGTCTTGCCTTAATTGGGGAATTAATTCATAATTTTGACATTTGCTCATGGATCCATTGCTAAGTGTAAACCAGTCTGGGTTAAGTGAGAGTTTTAAATAAGAATCTCAGGGATGTAGCTTGCAAGAACATAGTTTCCAAGTCATCCACCTCTAATTTGCTGAAGTGGAACTTGTTTGAAACAGGTGGGTAATTATTTTAAGGCATACGGTGGCAGAAACGGATAGCTTTCAAAATTCCCCATGCATTTGCTGTAAGAATGGCTTTTATAGAAAATCCATTTATCCCTCCAAACACATAGCTACTCTGTCAGTATGGAAGGATTTGAAAAAAGTGACCTTGAAATGAAAGAAGTTAATTACATGTTAATGGAGCAAAAGCTCAAAAAAAAAAAAAAAAGATATGATAGCACTGGAAAAGCTCTTTTAAAGATGTAATTCTGAAGAAATACCTTCCTTATGTTTGTCTTTTTATGGTCTTGAATAGAGGGAAATTAGGCAACAACTAGCTGAAAAAGCTAAAGCTGGAGAGCTCAAAGTCGTCAATGGAGCTGCGTCTCAGCCACCTTCCAAACGCAAGCGGCGCTGGGATCAGACAGCTGATCAGACTCCTGGTGCCACGCCCAAGAAATTATCCAGTTGGGATCAAGCAGAGGTAATGATCCTAGTGCTCTGCAGCTACCTACAGAAGACATTTAATGCTAATCCTTTTGAATGTCAGAAGTCTCTTACTCTGGTTAAAATGAGCAACCAGCAGTCTTTTACTGTGTAGCAGTAGGTACTGATGGTTTCTTTTTTGTCTTGTGTAGACTCCTGGCCATACGCCGTCTCTGCGGTGGGATGAAACTCCAGGCCGTGCTAAGGGTAGTGAAACTCCTGGTGCCACCCCAGGCTCGAAAATCTGGGACCCAACTCCCAGTCACACCCCAGCAGGAGCTGCCACACCCGGGCGGGACACGCCAGGCCATGCCACACCAGGCCACGGAGGGGCCACCTCCAGCGCGCGCAAAAACCGCTGGGACGAAACACCCAAAACAGAGAGAGGTACTTGGGGCAAACCTCACAGTGCATAAGTTTCGAATGGTGAATTCTATTGCATTTTTTTCACCTTAAATCAACAGTGGGTTCAGAAGTCAGGCAAGAAGTAATTATGTTCTGACATCTAGTGGTGGATGTGGAGTGTTGTTTTTGTCTGAGTTGGTAGCATTGGGTTTTTTCTGCCTGTGAGCTTAGCTCACATCTGGGGAAATATCTTGGCTCAAAAGTGGAATCGAGTTTTGTTGTATATCTAGTGACTCCTGCAGGTTGGGATTTTCATGTGTGCAGGACATTGTAAATCAACTCATGTTGAATTGCTTTTCATTATACATTTGTATGTGTTGTTTTTGAACTGTTGAATTTTTTTCAAGAGGTTTTGGAATGATTTTCTCACCTGCTTTTCTTGAATTTGGCTCTTGTCAGAGAACAGTGAAACACTGTTGTTGCCTAATGCTTTTATCAGAGGAGTACGTGGAATACTTTGGAAAATTTCTGGAATATATGAGTAGTTCTGGGGTTTTTAGA